TTATTCGCCTCATTTCCCCACGGAAGCCAAACTCCAGCCACTGCTCTTTGATTCTGAATCCACAGCCTGTGATGCTTAACTCAAGGATTTTTATTTGTTTATTTATTTTGAGACAGAGTCTCACTCTGTTGCCTGGGCTAGAGCGTCGTGGCATCAGCCTAGTTCACAGCAACCTCAAACTCCTGGGCTCAAGCAATCCTCCTACAGGATCCTTCTGCTCCTAACCCACATGCAACTGATGACTGCCAAGTTTCCCTGAAAATAAGACCTGCCCATAAAACAAGCCCCAGCAGGATTTCTAAGCATGTGCGCCATAGAAGCCCTACCCCGAAAATCAGCCCTAGTGGTGGGCGTGGCTGTGCAGCACATCTGCTCGACCTGTGTGTGTCGTCGAGGAGCGGGAAAGAACACGAGCAGCCCTTCTCATCCGCCCCGTGATCTCTCCACAGGAGAGATCGGGGCCAGTGGTTCTAAAGGAAACAGAGTCGCAAGACATTCAGGACGGGATTCGGGGTTTGGAGAGTGAGGATGATGTTCCAGAAGAAGACGACTTCACTCTATTTGAATCAATGGAGATGGTTATGCCATATTTAAAAAAAAAAATAACACATCCCCTGAAAATAAGCCCTAGGAAAAATAAATATAAGACCCTGTCTTATTTTTTAGGAAACACGGTAAGTCCTAATCTCTCTCCTCCCAGTCTTTTCTGCAGTTGTCTTGGTTCAGATCCTTCTCGACTCTTGCCTGTACTGTTGTCAGTGGTCCCAGTTGGTAGCTCTGTCTGCATCTCTTTTCAGCCTTAAATCATCTTTCCAAATAGCATCGGAATGATCAGGAAGAAAGCACAAGTTCTTGAGCATGATACAGACACACACACACACACACACACACACACACATGATCTAACTCACACCCACTTTTCCAGCCACATGTTCAGGTCTTCCCTGACAAGCTACAAGTGGTTTTCAAATGCTCCTTGCTGTTTTGCATGCTGGCTGATTCTTTTCATTACCTAAGCACTTTTCACAAGCCAATCTGGGAATGAGCGGAAACAAGCGTGGGCAAGTTGATATATGCAAACTTTTCTAAAAAACAGAAAACCTAGTCAAAGGACCAGAGCAGAGAGCCCAGAAAATAAATCTAAACATATACGGTCAAACTCCTTTAATAACGAAGGGCACCTTATGGATGGAACTACCAGTTCGGCGTGAAAAAGATGAAGTCTTTTCAGTAAATGGTGCTGGAAAATGGATTTCCACATGCAAAGAATAAAACTGACCCCCCCCCTTTTTTTTACACTATTACAACAAATTCAAACTGGAACAAGACCTTGAATGTCAAACTTGGGAGACCGTAAACTCTGATAGAGCGAATACAGTGAAAAGCTCGCTTGATGTTGGCCTCCGGCAATAATTTTCGCTGACTATCAGACCAAACTCGGCATCATAGCAAAAATAAATAAAT